GGGGGCCGCAAGCGAGGAGGTGCTCACCAAGGGCCGGGCCAGAGTCTCCTGACAAAACAGCTAGCACCGAAAAGCTGGTTCTGCTTCCTCCTCACCAAGTAAACACGATACTTTTTTCTTTTTTTTTAAGGAAAAAAAAGTTTTAAAAATATATGGCACTAGAGTGTAAAATCATACGACTGCGTCCAGTTAAAATTCCCTGCAGCTTCCAGCATGTGGTGGCCGCGGCCCTCAGATGTAGAGCTGGTGGGAGGCCAAGGTGTCCATGAAAGGACGCACGAGGTTGTCCGTGGAGAAGTAGAAGATGAGCCCGAACGTGATGGAGATGGGCAGGGCGGGCAGCGCCTTCTTGAACACAGCCAGCAGCAGGAGGGTCAGACACAAACCCTGCAGGACGGGGGTGGGAGGGAGGAGCACGGTGACCCCTGGCAGTGGCTGAGGGAGCAGTGAGCTTGTTTGGGGACCAGCTGATCAACAGTGCTGGACACGCTCTTATCTTCCCTGGTCCCTCAACAGCTCTGAAAGGTGCCAAGGGCAGGTCTTCTCACCCAGGAAACCCTGCCTGCTAATATCAGGGCCTCAATCCCGGGCAGCACTGCTCTGCCAGATCACGCTGCCTCCTAAGCTGGCTCAGTGGTCCCACGGGGACCTCAGGGAATGTCTGTTTATACGGGAGCTCGATGGGCTCAACTGAAATGTCAGCGGGGTGGGTTCTCAGTGGCTGACACCACGGAAAGCAAAGGTGCCAGGTGACCTGCCCCTGGGAGGCAGGCACAAGGCTGCCCATCCTGCCCTGACCTGACTGATAGGGGCAGTGGTCCAGGGTGGGGACCAGGAACCAGTGCTGCCCTATCCATAGGGATGACAGGACTCAGGATGGACAGTTTGGGGTCTACTATCCCATCCCAGACAGACACATGTGTCTGAAACAAAGTCTTCAAAACACTGGTGCGTTAACCCTGTGCCCTGCCAGATGACAAGAGGGATTTTTTTTTTTTGAGATGGAGCCTCAAGCTGTCCCCCTGGGTAGAATACTGTGGCATCACAGCTCACAGCAGCCTCCCAGCCCTGGGCTCAAACAAGTCTCTTGCCTTTGCCTCCCAAGTAGCTGGGACCACAGGCGCCTGCCATAACACCTGGCCATTTTTTGGTTGCAGCCATCATTGTTGTTTGGCGGGCCCGGGCTAGATTCGAACCCACCACCTTAGGTGTATGTGGCTGGTGTCTTAGCCACTTGAGCCACAGGCGCTGCGTCGACACTAGGGTTTTCATCAAGGTGGGAGACACGGAGTACGTGCAGCTCAGCGACACCTTGTCCTCTAACAGAGAAAACGCTTGAGACGAAATCATCATGAGGGGGCTTCCTCATTCCGTGCATCTGGTCACCTTCCATGAGTATAGGACCTCTAAATTCCACTGCTGGGGTTCCCAACACCTCACCAACCCCTGGATTCAGAACCCTGTGGTGAATGGATGGCACATAGGACAGGAATACACACAGCTCCAGGGCTAGAGACCAAGTTCTGATCACAGCTCTTCGAATCACAGCTTGGCTCTCACTAGCTCTACACCCATGGGCAAGGCCCAGATTCCTCTGCCCTAAATCTGAGGGGACCACGCCCCCCCCCCCCCAGGTATCCTGAGAGTAGCTCACAGAGCTGGCAGCCAGGCCCGAGGCACAGAGGCCTGTGTGCTCAGTGAGGTCAGAGCCAGGGCCCCTGGTCACCCTCCTCTGTGCTGTCCTTACAGGCTGCCAGCTACCCATATGGCACCACACCTCCTGCGAGCTCCAGTCAGGCCTCAGGCCTCCCGTGCTGCTCAAGACCCTCAGAGGGAAGCACAAATGCAAACTCCCCAGGGATCCGGGCCCCCCATGTAGACCCCGAGGGACCGCCGTGGGAGCAGGCAGGGAGCACCCCAGCCACTCACGATGAGGATGGCCACAAAGCAGGCCAGTGTGGTGTTCCAGTCCCCGCTGCCCGTAGCTGCGGCCTTGCCCACCAGCACGCTGTAGAAGATGAAGTCCCCGAGGCCGAGCTTCACGCCCCCTGCGTGGGGGAGAGAAAGTGGACCCTGAGACGCTTGCTGTAGAGGGCAGGAAGAGGAGGACACCACCAGCCCAGAAAGCCCAGCTGCTCACTAGCCCGAGGGTGGACAGGCAGTGACGCTGCTCAGTCCAGCCCACCAGGACAGACACATGGACAGAGGACAGGAAGGATAGGCTGTCTCTGAAAAGCAGCCACCAGCAGGAAACGGAGAACATGCAGGCTGGGTGCCCTACGACCTGGGCGGGGAAAGCTGGCTGCTCTGATACTCAGGCACAAGCGATGCTGGGCACTCAGCTGAGCAAAGAAAGGACAAACACACACCCTGCCGGGGGCTGAGGGGCTGCCGTGCAGCTTAGGGCCAAGTCTGAGTGATGGGTATCTTTTAGGAAATTTAATTTCACTACTTTGAGGAACACATATAAACATCAAATAGAGGTGCTTTGGTAAGATGATTGGTGAACAGCACACCGACTGCAGACAAGTAAGCTAGAGCTTCTAAAATGCTTTCAAGTGTGTTTTTAGCACAAGGCCCCTGATGCCTGTTTATAGGATAACTATGGTTACTGGATAAAAGCAAACCAAGGAGTCCCTCAGGCCCTAAGTCGTACTCTGCCCTGTGCTGGGCCCAGCTGCCCACTCTTCCCCCACCAGGCCCCTTTCCATCAACACCGTCTTTCCTCTGACCCCAACTTTCCGCCTGCAGCAGGCGCCTTCCTTGGTGCCTAATGAACACTCTTCAGTCCTGCCCGAAGATGGCTTTCCCACCTGGTCCCTTTCGCTGCCACCCTGCTCCCACTGTACTGCTCTCGCCCTCTGCCCTCTCTGACTGCTCTTCCTATTTAATCAGGACTCTCAAAGAAACCCTGAGATCACCTCCTTGTCACTTCAGAATCCTAGAGGCACCCAGTCCCTGTCCCCTAACCAAAACCACCACACGGTCCCCAGGGGCTGTTGCAGCCCTCTTGCCACCATCTTTTGGACACCTGTACCCCTCTGGCTATTCCCCAGGGTCCTCCACCTACACCCTTTCCTTCCTCTGCAAGTGCCTTGGACCCCTGGCTTCTCACTGCACCCTCCCTGGCTACCACACTTCTTGGGGCCAACAGTTTTGACAACATTTATGGGCTCCTCCCCACATGGGTCTACTGGACATTTACCTAGATGTCCTGCAGCTCCTCCTGAGTGTCTGGGACCCACCCCAGGCCCAGTCCTGCCAGCCTGGCCGAGACTGCATCCCCACCTCCTCTCCCAGGCCACTGCTTGTCACCTTGCTTCTCTCCCCTGGCCTTCAGTAGTGACCCCTCCTGGCATCCCAGCAGAATACACTGGGAATAAAACTTGCTTCCCTGATTTCCTATTTACAAACGACTAATGGTTCCTCACCACCACAGGCTAAAACACAGGCTCTTCCATGAGTGCAACTACCCTGCGGTCTAATGGCCTTGAACCTCCTCCACTGCGTGACCACCTTCATCCCTCAGCTGGGGCTCCCTGAAGCCTTCAGCTCTAAGTTGAGCCTTTGCAAAGCAAAGGCTGAACTTGACTTGCCTTTGTTTCCTGGTGGACTAAATCCTTGGAATTGCCTAAGTAACAGGAGGTTAAACTCGCACCTGAGTTTATACTAAAAGATGAGATGACTCAGGGTGGGGGCTGCACCAGAAAGACCAACCACATGATTAGGGGGTGGACGCTTCAGGCCAGCAGACCTCTGGGGGGCAGGGAGATGAAGTTCAACCAGGTAGCAAACACTAAGCCATCATGCCAAAGGACACTGGATGCTGAAGGTGGACCAAACGCTGAACACATCATGTGTCAGGAGGGTGACGTGCCCTGTTCCACCAGGAGAACACACAGGAAGGACATGGTGGGGAACTTTCCAGACCTTGCCCTGTGTCTCTTCATTTGGGTCATGAGTTGCATTCCCTATAATAAAACTGTAATTGGAGTACTGTGCTCCCCCTTTCTAGCAAATGACTGAACCTACAGGGAGCCCCAAATTTATAGCCAGTTGGTCAAAGAGTGAGTGGCCCATAGACCCTTAGAACTCGTGGCTGGTGTCTGCAGGGAGGCCAGTCTCGGGGCCTTGAGTCTGTAAGGTCTGCACTGGCTGTTGGGAGTCAACAGCAGCCCTGTTAGCACTGGAACAAATGCCTTCCTCGGCCTGTCTGCAGGGTGACGGCCTATTCACCCCTCAAGACCCACCTTGGGTCCATCTTTCCTAACCTGTACCCTCCTGCGTCTCTGGAGCACTTTATACCACCTGGCTGCTCCCACAGGGCCCTTATTGAGGCCAGAGGCTGTTATATACCATGCACCTCTGGCACGCAGTAAGCGTCTGTGATTGTGTACTGACTGAACGGCTGCTTTAATTATTTAGGAAATAATCTCAGAATGTCTCCAGGGTTGTCCCAGCTCCTCCAGTCTGCTGGTCTGGAAAGCAGCCCCCATGCTCCCCTCTTCTGGTGCCTGCTGTGACTCAACCTCTGATGCTCAGCACAGAAGTCACCTCCACAGGTCACTTTCTCTGCACCCTGGAAGCCCTGTCCCATGCTCTCCCAGAGACCCCTTTCCTCTTCTTCCTCTAGCTTTTTTAGGGTGATTAGCACCCATTAGATTGTGAGCCCCACCAGGGCTGGGCCTCAACCCACACCACGTAGGTACACGCTAGCTTTCAATATGTGTCTCCTAAGTACGCAGGGTAGCCTGGATGTGAAGCCTCCAGAGTCGGGCAACAAGACTCCAGCTCTGCCGGCTTCTCCTTGACTTTCACGAAGACACCTCTGATGGGAAAAGGGGCCTCTCCCCTCACGTCTCCTCCACCCTCTGCCCCTACCCCTGGGCACAGCAGACCACGCGAACACGGACACCTTACTTTCCTCCTCTTCCTCCAGCTCCTCCCCTGGGTAGCCAGGCACAGGGGGCTCAAAGACTTCGGGATATGAGGGCTCCCCAAAACTGTCATAGGAGTCTTCTTCTGGGTGTCCAGGAAGAGAAGATGACCATCAGTGTCATGAGCAGAGGACAAGGGAGAGACAAAACCAGTCAGAGGGCTGCCTGGTCTCTGGGGAGGAAAGATGCAGGAAGGGACCCCCTGAGCACTGGGCCCGACCTCAGGCTTCCCTACCCTTATCCCCCCAAGCCACACCCAGCGGCAATAAGGCATAGCACTGGAGGGGCGGCAGATCCACAGTCCCACCCTCACACACTCTCCAAGATGCCCAAGGCCAGGAGGGCTGCTTTATGGATGACACTCCCCCCTTCCCCTCTTGCCCTAGACAGCCAGGCTGAGATGCTGGCAGCCCCCCAGTACTCACCCATCTCAGGGTCATAGGGGAGCTGCAGGGCTCCCTGAGAGGAGGGGTCCAGCTTGGCCATGCCCACTGTCCATACCATGGCAGCTGGGTAAAGAGAAAAGGGTCACGACTCAGATGGTGCTGACAGCGGCTGCCTGCAGGACCCGAGAGGAGGTGGTTAGCCTGTGTCCCCAGAGAGCCTGCCTGGGACCCTCCATCCTGCCATCCTGCCGGGGGTCTGTCCACAGTCCATGGTTAGGAGGCTGCGGGCAGGGGGAGAGGTCCAGGTCTGGGCACACAGTGCCTGCACAGTGCTCCAGCCAGTCTTTTTCTGCCCCTCTCACAAATAACAAAGCAAGGATAATAATATCAGTGGACAGTTTGGTGAACTAATTGTTTTTAAAATTGTTGTAGAAAGTATCACATAAAATGTATCAGCTTAACCATGTTTAAGCATACAGTAGTTGTTGTGAAACAGATCTGAACTTTTCAAGTGCAAAACTGAAACTCTATAACCAGTGAACAGCAACTTCCCAGCTGCTGGTAACCACCAGTCACTGTTCATGACCCTAAGAGTCTCACAGGGAGAATCACACAGTATTTTATCTTCACTTAGCATAATGTCCTCAAGGTTCACCCACGTCATATACAGCATGTGTCAGAATCTCCTTTCTTTTAAGGCCGAATAAATCCCATTGTATGTATACCCACATTTTATCCATTCAGCCATTCTGAGATGCTTGGTGGCTATTGCGAATCGTGCTGTGACGCACACAGGTGTGCAAATACTGCTGAAGTCTCTGCTCTCAATTCTCTCTGGTATATATACCCAGGAGAGGGACTGTTGGATCACATGGTACTAAGTGAATTATGCCTGGTATGTCACTACTCTACCTCCGAGTCTCCTTCTGAACGGCCAGCCGGGAGTCAGATTCAATATGCCCCCTTCAACCTGCTCCACCTTCGTCTGTAACTCCATCCTTGACTGTCATCAGCTTTGATTGCCTCACAATCCATATCCCAACCATCAACAAATTGTGCCAATTCTGCTTCCAGGATGTCTCCAGAATCTGCCTATAATCTCACACTAGCTATTGCTGTCCCAGCCTCTCTCCCCTGGACTGTTATTCAGCCTCCAACCCCGGCTCCTGCTCTTGACCCCATACATTTGGTTGTCCATTCAGCAACCTGTGTGACCCTGGTAAGATGTCCAGTCAGGCTGGCCCACAATCTTCCACTGGCTTCACACCTCACTCAGAAGCCAAAGTCCTCTGCCACAGCCTGCAGGGCCTAACACGATCTGGACCCGCCCTCTCTCTGCCCTAACCACACTGGCCTCTGGGGACTCCACAGGCATGCCAGGCCCACCCCCTCTCAGAGCCCATGCACTGCTGCTGTTTCTTGTGTCTGCAATGCCACCTACATAGTTTTAGGTGGTGCTCTCTTGCCTAAGCCAGGCCAGTCTCTGTTCAAATATCACCTCATGATGGAGGGCACCCCTGACGACCTTTCACAAACCAGCACACCCCACTGTACCAAAGTCCTTGCCCCTGAACTCTGCTTTATTTTTCTACAGAGCACTCAGTAGCTCCCAACACTCATTTGTCTATTTCAATGCTACCTCCCCTTCCAAAAGTGGAAGCTCCATCACAGACATGCTCACATGCTCACAGGTGAACCCCCAGAGTCTCAGGCACTCACAGCATGGCCTGTTTTTCCACACATGGTCTCTGCTCTTCCCAGGAAGGCACCTGGAGTGGCTTGCACACTGCGGGGCCAGGCTGGTGGTGAGTCTCTACAAGCTGATTCTTCTTCCACATAGAGATTACCTAGCATGCTACTGCTGTTTCATAAACTGTCTCCCAGGATACCCTGCAGACTACAGCAGGCCCAGAAATTTGGGTTTTCTACTTAAGCCCTGCCATCCGCAGGTGGGAGGGCATCAGAACCACAGGGCTGGGGGCTCTGGGAGGCCCGGGACCATATGGTCTTGTTTCCTGCAAGACCCTCAATGCCTAGCACAGTGCCTGCCACAGGGTGGGGAAATGATGCATATGTGTTGAGTTCAGATAAATCCAAATCCCTGTACACTGACTTGAGGCCAAGGCAATCCCATGTGCCTTCTCCTCAGACAC